CTGGTACTAATGCCCTACGCGCACCCCGGGCCTGGCTCGTGCCACGTGGTGGCACTTTAGCGCCGGTTCGTGACGAACCGGTACTAAAGGGGGGGGGGGCTTTAGTCCCCACTCTTTAGTGCCGGTTGTCAAACCGGCACTAAAGGCCGTTACGAACCGGCACTAAAGCCCGGTTCTGCACTAGTGCTATGGAGGGCAGGGTCCCGCGGAGCACCTGCGCGGCGGTTCAGCAGATCGACCTTGAATCCTGCTCGATACAGAGACGGTGAAGAGCGTGTTTGGGATTCATCCTAGCGGCTCTTCCGGCATGAGGCAGTGGTGTGGCAGCCCTCCCTCCATGCTCTAATGGTGGCACTCTCCGGCAGTGGGTGAAGTGTCAGGTTGCACCATGGTGGCAGTGCGACTGTGGATGATCGCCGGATCTGGGCGGCCAGCTCCGGAGCTTTGAAGGTGGTCCTGCAAATGCACAGGTTGTCAGTTGGATGTTCTTGGGGTGGATTCAGGTGAAAACCTAGTCTTCGGACGGTGGCCAGAGCCGGTGATGGTGACGCCCTTGGCGTCGTTTCCTTCATGAAGGCACCATCGAGGTGAAGCTCCCAACTCGATCGGATGATGGCGGTGCTCTTGTGTCGTTTCCTCCTTGGGGGCGTCATTCATAGAGGTGTGCATTGGCTTGAGGGACCAGTGGATGGTTTTAGCGGCGGAGCTGCGTTTTATGTCACACATCGACAATATGGAGTCTCGGCGGCGTGGTGCAGCAGGGTCTCAATGACGGATGTATGATGATGGACGCGCGTAGGAAGGTGGCGTTGTCTGGCGCCATGGTGGCGTCGACGACAGGCCTGACAAGGTAGATGTGTCAGTATCTCCTCTGAAGATGGACCGGTGGAAGACGGTGGTGGCTGATACGTCTCCAACGTATGCATATATTTTTATTGTTCCATGCTATTATATTATCAATCTTGGATGTTTTATATAAATTTACAAGCAATTTTGTATCATTTTTAGGGACTAACCTATTAACTTAGTGCCTAGTGCTAGTTACTGTTTTTTTTTGCTTTTTTGACTTTGCATAATATCAATACCAAACGAATTGCAAATGCCACGAATTTTTTTGGAGATTTTTTGCTGGCAATGAGAGACCCTGGAAACTTCTGGAGGGAACGAGAAGATGAAGGAGTGGCCCACTAAGCACCAGGGCGTGCTAGGGGCCTCTGGCGCGCCCTGGTGGGTAGTGGGGCCCACAATCCTCCGTTGACCTACCTCCGCCTCTATAAATACTCTAAAATCACAAAGCCTACCAGGGAGTCCACGAAATAATTTTTTCGCCGCCGCAAGTTTCAGAACCACGAGATCCAATCTAGAGGCCTTTTCCGGCACTCTGCCGGAGGGGGAAACAATCACGAAGGGGTTCTTCATCTTCTTTGTCGCCCCTCCGATGATGCGTGAGTAGTTAACACAGACCTATGGGTCCATAGTTAGTAGCTACATGGCTTCTTCTCTCTTTTTGATCTTCAATACAATGTTCTCCTCGTTGTTTTTGAATATCTATTCAATGTAATGACTTTTCGCACTATGTTTGTTGTGATCCGATGAATTGTGAGTTTATGATCAGATCTATTTGGTTGGGGCCTCTGGCTTTAGATGTTAGGCTTTGGTGCGAGGTCCGTTTGGTATTCGGCTCGGACATTTGACACCCCTTCATCAAGTGGATAAGAGTAGTGACAAATATTCCCAAGATGGTGACTTCAGACTTACTGATGTATTACTTTGTATGGTCTTTGTGAATAATTAATAAAATGACTGCATGCATCATCCAGATGAGGCCAGAGGTCATCCTCCTTTTCTAAAAAAATAATATAATACACACACACACACACACATTGACAAAGGTATTTTATTTTAGTTAAGTCCACAAAACTTTATAGTATCTAATATTTATGCATGACAATAGCAAGTAGAGACTCCTTTTTCATCCTTCTTATAAGAATGCTTTTCCCGGTCCAGAGAAATTCTGGCTTACATATGGAAAATGCCTTCAGCTTGAAGCTACCAGTGCACCCTCCTTGAGTAAATCAATTTTCCATGCGGTAATGTTATTCAGCTGATGTTTGTTGAGAGGAATGATAAACTAAACATTTTATATGAGAATATATATCTTTTTAATAATGCAGACTAACTTAAGGAATTCCTCGATTTTTAATAGATTTATTAAAAAAATGCAGACTACCTTCCGTAGTTTCATATTTTTACTAGATTTATTTAAGAATGCGATTTAACTCGTGGAATTCTCCGGTTTTTACATGATTTATTTAAGAATGCAAACTACCTACCCTAGTTTCAAATTTTTACTTGATTTATTTAAGAATATAGATTAACTCGGAATTCTCTGACCATTACTATACTTATTTAAGAATGCAGATTAACTCCCCTAGTTTCAGATTTTTACTAGATTTATTTAAGAATGCAGATTAGGTTGTGAAATATCCTGAATTTTATTAGATTTCTTCAAGAATGCAGACTACCTCCGTAGTTTTAGATTTTTACTAGATTTATTTAAGAATGCAACTTAACTGTCGGAATTCCCCTAATTTTATCATTTTATTTAAGACTGAATTTTGACCCCCAAAATTCTTCGATATTACCAGGTTTATTTAAGAATGCAGACTATCTTCCGCAGTTTCAGATTTTGACTAGATTTATTTAAGAATGAAGATTTACTCCTAAATTCCTTGATTTCTACTACATTTATTTACTTAAGAAGACTACCCCACGTATTTTCATATTTTTACTAGATTTATATAAAATGTGGGTTAACTTCCAGAATTCCCTGTGTTTTTTACTAGATTTGTTTGCTAATACAAACTACCTCCCATAGTTTCAGATTTTACTAGATTTATTTTAAAATGCAAATTAACTCCCAGAATTTAACGATTTTTACTATATTTATCTAAGAATGCAGATTAACTTCCGAATACCATGATTTTTACTAGATTTATTTAAGAATGCAAACTACCTTTCTTTGCCATTTTAGATTTTTACTAGATTTATTTAAGAATGCAGTTAACTCCTGGAATTCACCGATTTTTGCTACATTTATTTAAGAATGCTGAGTACCTCCCATAGTTTCATATTTGTAATATATTTATTTAAGAATGCAAATTAACACCAGAATTCCCTAAAATTGACTATATTTGTTTAAGAATGCAAAATTCCCCATGATTTACTAGATTTATTTAAGAATGCAAACTAAATCCAGGAATTCCATATTTTCACTAGATTTACGTAAGAATGCAGACTAATCCCAATCTTCCAATTTACAAAGGCAAAAATTGATTGATGTGGTATATAAACTATTCGAGTTGTTGGGCTGCAGCATCAAATTCAGAAAAATGATGGTAAAGCATGGACAAGGTTATGGAAGCACAAATTACTAGGGTAAGAGGATGGAAATTTTAATTTGTAAGGACGACAAATCCTGACGAAATACTGAACAGAGACGGAGTTGCCTAACTAAATTTGACATCCTCGACCTGCCATCCAACGAACGTTCGCCGGTTAAGCCGGTCATTTTCCATGGCCCTCTTCCCACTACCCCCGGTCTGCGGCCGTCAACGCCAACCGCCGGCGCGAGCTTGCGACTTCCCCTCCTCCCGCTGCGTCGGCCTCTACCTCCGTACCTACTCCCCGGGTACCATCTGCCTCCTCTCTTTGACCGCGGCGCCGCCCCCGCCATAGTCTCTCTCCCCGGCCGCCGATTGCACTGGATAAGCAGGGTCCGGCTCGTCGGGGCCCAAATCCGGCCGGCGGAGCACCGATCTGGCCGGATTGATCCTTTTAGCTGACGCCGGGAGGACCAACCAATCGACCTCCCGCGCGCCGTCCCGTGCCCTCGCAAGCAAGGCCGCGACCAGGGCTAGCCGTGGCCCTCGTCGTCTCCTGTGCCGGTGCGACTCGCAAGCAAGGCCGCGACCAGAAGCACGTCCAGCGGAGGCATCTACTCCACTGGCGCGGTGAGTCATCCTGTGCTGCCTCCATTAGACGGCCTAACTCTGCATACCTCGGCTGTACGCCTGTACTAATCTGCAATCGTTCCCGCGCAGAAACGCTGAAACTTCAGCTGTAATCGCTCTCCAGACTTTCGCCATGGAAAATGCCTGCACAAACCTCAACCAGGTGGCCCGCTCGGTGCGGCTGCTCAACATCGACGGCTTCAGCTTGACCGCAGGCATGGGCGGCGACTACTGCCTCAAGTCCATATGGACCGTCGATGGGTACGAGCTGGAAGTCCTTATCTATCCGGGCACCACATGGGTGGCTCTGAAACTCGTCTTTCTCAGTGAAGCCCGCACACAGTGGGGTGTGAGGGCGAGCATGGCCTGTCAGCTGGTAGATCTCAGCAGGGAGCTTGAGCCGTATCACGAGTATGCCGTGTCAGAAACCTTCTATCATCCCCAGGACTTCGGGGCACTGGTCTTCATGGACAGAAATAAGATACCATCTGGTTATATCAAGGATGATATGTTGACACTGCGATGCGCGATCACCGTACTCAAGGAGTTACCAGTGCCAACCATCCCAGCTGAAGAAGTGATCGCCCAACCATCCACCAACTTGCGCGAGCACCTCGGCGAACTCCTGCAGAGCGAGATGGGAGCCGATGTCACACTTCTTGTGTGCGACGAGCCGTTTGCTGCACACAGGTGCATACTGGCCTCACGGTCTCCGGTTTTCAAGGCCCAGTTCTTCGGAGACATGAAGGAGAAGTGCTCGGCACGCGTGGAGATCAAGGACATGGAGGCGGCGGTGTTCAGGGCCATGCTGCACTTCATCTACACTGACATGGTGCCTGAGCTTGATCGGCCGCTCGAGGAGGTGACCACGATGGCTCAACATTTGCTTGTGGCCGCTGACATGTATGGACTTGAGAGGCTCAAGCTGATTTGTGAAATAAAGCTCTGTGGTTGCATCACTGTGGACACCGCAGCGACCACTCTTGCTTTGGCGGAGCAGCACGATTGCTCGAAGCTCAAGGCCAAATGTGTCGAGTTCATCGTCAGCACGCCTGCTGTTCTTGAGGCTGTGTTGGCGACAGATGGGTATAAGCACCTTGAAGAAAGCTGCCCTTTGGTCCTGACTGAGCTTCTCAAGTCTGTCCATGTGAGTAAGAGTTGAAGGGTAGCATAGTGCTAGGCCTCCAAGAATTGAAAATGCATAGTCTCTGTTTGTGCTTGCATCCATGTGTGCTGTACGTAGTAAAAACTATGTCTGAATTTACCTAAAATGGAAAACTATGCGCATCTATATATGTTATGTTATGAGCAACTTAATGCTTTCATTGCTCCTCCAATTTCGATGTAATTTAGTACAATGTCGTCCAAGATTTGGTTGCATGCTTGTCAATATTAGTACAAGGGGATAAATAAAGTTGGATGATTCAGAGTGTGTTTAGTTTCGTACATGATTTGGTCAGCCGCTGCTACATAATCCAGGTCTTCTGTATGCTGGGAGTTCTTTTGAACATCTTTATTCTCACATCAAATAAAATGATTCCTGTTTATAGGAATCAAACCTGAACCAACCTTTTGGTGTCTGGTATGTATAATTGTATACTTTCCACAACATCCTGCAATATCCTTATGATTTTGAAATATTTGTGGAGCTATAATGGAGTTAGATATTTGAATATTCTGTGATGCCCTTTTTTGGTAATTTTTAAGCATGCAAGGTTTGTGTCTATTTTGGTGTCTTGTCCATGTTTTGGTCCCTCTGTAATCAGGTCCATCTAGACTGCTTCAAATCCTAAAATCTTCAAACATTCAAGAGTTTGATCCATGTTATGGAAGCACAATAGCTGTTCTCGTTATTTTACATGTTCCTCTCGGTTATTATATAGGATGTCTCCACAAACAGTTCACCTTTGATGACAATATTCTTCTCTGGCATGCATCAATTTGTACCAGTACTATAAGCTACAAGTTACCAGTAATGTAACTGCTAAATCAACTCAGAAGCACATGCTCCGGGCTCACAAAAATATTTTTCATTCTTTAAGAAAAGTCAAAATATGACACATGTAGATGACAGAGTAAAGTTTTGGAAAGCTCATAAAGCTGCTTCTTCAGCTCATTCCTGTTTATTCTCTTCAGGTCATTCCTGTTTATTCTATGCAAACTAGAAACCAATGCATTTTCTAACAAAATGTTGCAGATTCATAGTTCCCTCTAATATCTGCATCTGACATTTTCTCGTTGCAAATTGTTTCATTATCCGTCTTCTTATAAGCTTATCTGATACATAACCAGTGTGTGCAGGGCTTGGCAAGAACCTTGTTTCTAGTGTTGTTAAAAAGTTTTTTTCGATAAAGGGCAAGTTTAGTGTTTGTTTGGATGCCTTATCCAGGTATGGACTCTTCCTGATCAGGTCCACTTGAACAAGCCTTGACTGTTCGAAAGTCGATGATCTCCAAACTCTAGGAATACTAGTTAGGTACACGTGCATTGCACGCTTGAGATTTGGCAACCAAATTATGAATAAATACCACACTATAGCATGTAACCTTTGAGTCATATATGCATGATGTAGATGTTCGTTTAATTCTTATAGTTCATCTCATTCAAAATCAATTAGTTTTATAAAAAAAATTAATCTGTTTTAAGATTCATGGAATTGTGCGTTGTAAAGCATAAAGTAATAATGGCAATTCATTTAGAAAAAAAGTTTGGAAAATTATGATACGGAAGATTCTAGAACAAAGGAGAAGTGCTTGTGTTTTAAGGTTTGTGCATTATGCTTAAGTTCAACCATGGAGTCTTCTAGATTGTACATGTGGCAGAATCTGGTGGAATGTAGATGATATCCAACGGCCATTAGTGCTCGGATTTGCCATCTCTGCACCGTCGGATTGGCTTCATCCAACGACCATCTTTCAAAGTTATTCGCACACTATGTAGGGGTATAGATAATTGATGGTATGGCAGCCATGCAACTTCATTATTTGTAAATGCTATGTGTAAGCAGCTCATTTGCAGCTTATAGTTTTTGTCATCTTTAGAAATGACATATGTGATGCATCGACTCTTATTACAAGAAGCCAGAAATTTTATTATGAACAAAATTCCATATTTTTATCTTGTTTACTTTTCCGGTACCTTTGTGCTATAGATCGTAACCGGGGATGCCAGTTGGCAACAAGAAGCATGCATATCACTATGGTTAAAGTAGACTCTATATTAAGTTCAAGTGGAAAATTCCAGTATATTGTGCAGGCTTTGTGGGTTAGCCGGCCTGCATTTGTTTTGTAACGGTACATATATAAATTGCATAATGTGAAATTATTTCAAGGCGACGGTAGAAAAGTAGGGTAATAGGTGTGGGGATCCAAGACATTTTGTAGGTTGTCTCTGAATGTAGTGTCTCAGCTATGAGACAGTGTTGGGTGCGAATAAGGCCCTTGGGCCCTGACTTTGTGCCAGTGGCATTCTTTTAGGCATACGAGTTTGTGTTGTCACGGCCTTCTTCTTTTCTTGAGAGCTGTCATTCTCTTTGATCTAGTATATAAAATGGAAAGCCCTATTCTTTCCTACTAAGTGCTGGAGCAACGATGCCGGCCATGGTTTTGATCGATTTGCAAACGAATAACTTTTTGTGCCGTCTCATGGTGTAGATGAGTTTCAGTCTCTGCATGATTGTAGTTTGTTAGAACCTGACCTTGTAAGTTGGTGAGTTTGTTTATTTTGTATCTTAAGCACACTGTTAAACTGGGGCCTGATGCAATTTGTATAAGCACATGACCCGGTGTAGTTTTCAGTAATCTACAGACCTGATAAGCAGTAGAGACAGGGTAAGTGTCAGCATGTGGTGTAGCTTGACATGGATCCAGGTACTGCTGCATCGGCAGCAAGGTTGTACAAGGGTGAGGTGCATCGTGCTGCAACCTAACATACCCAACTATTCACTCTGAAAGAATAGAAAGAAAAAGGAAGGCTCCCGATTATTCAGCCAAATCCTCTGTCTCCGCTCTGGTTTTTAGTTTTTACCTCTGTTTTCTTCTCCGACGACTTCAGTTAATCTGCCTGTGTATCCATTGGATCCCACCGGCTAAGCTAGTTCGTGTGAGATTGGGGAGACCTTACATAGTTGACTGTTCGTGTTGCTTTCCTTGATGATTATCAGATAATATATGTAGAGTACCTAAAAAAACTAGAGTAGTACTCCCTCCGTTCCCAAATACTTGTCTTTTTAGGCATTTCAAATGGACTCAACATACGGATGTATGTAGACATATTTTAAAGTGTAGATTCACTCATTTTGCGCCGTATGTAGTCACTTGTTGAAATCTCTAGAAAGACAAGTATTTAGGAACGGAGGGAGTAGAAAATAAAGCAGTTAGGCAGAATAAATGGTCAGATCAGGTGGTGGGGAATTTTTCTTTGTTAAATGTCCCTTTCTTTGCATACTTTCTCATTTCAAGGGGCCCTGCTCGAGTGAATATTTTCATGTTTCCACTCGTCTCACCCAGTCACCTTCCACTCATCAACGCGAGTCGCTGGTGTAGTCTTCTTTATTCTTGCTGGGTGAACACTCTTATCTTCTCCCTCTGTAACCTCTCTCTTCTCTCTCTTTACTCCCCCTTCCTCTGTGTCCAGAGCTAGCCTGCCTCACTCTCTTCGTCTCCTCTGTCGTCGGCGTGAGGCCGAAGCAAGGCCCGCCCACGTAGCAGGGACACGAAGCACGTCGCCAGCGGACTGGTTCTGCTCTGGTGCCTGGTGGCACAGCGAGTCGTCCTTCGCCTCCTTGCGCGGTGAGTTTTTTTTTATATTGATATTGGAAGAGAAGTGCTAAATTGTACTGATCCACAACCATTCCCAGGCAGACTCATTTGATTTCACTCTTAGGCGAAGCTTCGACTGTGACCACTCTCAGGTCTTCGCCATGGAAAAGGCTTGCACAAACCTCACCGACGTCGTGCGCTCGGTGCGGCTGCTCAAGATTAAGGGCTATAGCTTGACAAGGGACATCAGCAGCGACCATTGCTTTAAATCCAGATGGAATGTCGATGGGTACGAGTGGGAAATCCGTATATATCCAAGGTCCCGGGAGGCCAATCATGTCAACGGAAGATGCGTGGCTCTGCATCTTATCTTCCTCAGTGAAGCCCGCATGGGGGCTGTGAGAACGACTCTGCGCTGCTGCTTGGTAGATCCGAGAGGAATATTTAAGCCATCTAGAGAAGATCGTCGGTCTCTAACATTCAGGAAGCCCCAGGACACCTCGTACACGGTGATTCTGATGGAAAAAGATGAGTTTGAAGCATCGGGTTATGTCAAGGATGATTTTTTTACCGTGCAATGCACCCTTGACGTTCTCAAGGAACTACCAGATGCAACAGCCCCACTTAAAGAACTGCATCTGCCATCGTCTAACTTGCACCTGCAATTTGCTCAACTCCTTCAGAGCGAGACCGGAGCGGACGTCACATTTCTCGTGTCCGGTGAATCCTTCGCTGCGCACAAGCTCATCCTCGCTGCAAGGTCCCCTGTCTTCATGGCCGAGTTCTTTGGAAACATGAAGGAGAAGCGCTCGCAGAGTGTGGAGATCGAGGACATGGAGGCTGAGGTGTTCAAGGCCCTTCTTCAGTTCATCTACACCGACGCTGTGCCGGAATTCAGACAGCAGGCGGAGGTGGACGCGGAGGCCGTCTACACCGACTCTGTTCCAGAGTTCGAACATCAGCATGAGGAGGTGGATGCGGAGGCGGCAACGGTGATGGCTCAGCATCTGCTTGCTGCTGCTGACAGGTACGGACTGGACAGGCTGAAGCTCATCTGCGCCCGCGAGCTCTCTGGTGGCATCAACGTCGACACGGCAGCGACAGCTTTGGCTTTAGCCGAGCAGCACAACTGCCCGGAGCTCAAGGCGAGGTGTGTTGATTTCATTATCAGAACCTCTGCCACTCTTGATGCCGTGTTGGCGACGGAGGGGTTTAAGCACCTCGAGGCAAGCTGCCCACTGGTAGTGGTTGACCTTCTCAAGTCCGCGCGTCGGAGAAAAACTTGAAGCATATCTTGGCGTCACGGGGCCAAGATTTGATGGTCCATGGTATTGTATCTGTTTGAAGTTTAGTACTGTACTACCATATGCCGTCTTTCAATAAAAATTAAAACCTGCCTATGTACATCTGTATATGCTCTGGGCATCTATTTACTTACATTTCCACTTCCTTTGATGTAATTTTGTGCTAAATGGTGCTGGTTGATGGATGTCGGGAAGCATTTCTACTCCCTCGTAAGGGAGCCGCATTGAGTTTATATTGATTGGGGCTCAAGGCCAAGCTTGGAGTACAAGTTGGGAACCTACCGATCCCTTGGATTCGGTGGTTTAGATATGCTACGGGATAATAGAGAGAGAGAGGGGTTTAGTTGAGATTACTACACGTATTATACACAAACTCTAACACCCTCCCTTAATCTCAACTGTCCTAGATTGATATTCCTCTTGAACTCTTCAAATGGCCGAGCAGGCAATGCCTTGGTGAACCCGTCTGCCAATTGATCTTTTGATAAAATGAATCTGATATCCAGTTTCTTCTCTGCAACTCTTTCTCTTACGAAGTGAAAGTCAATTTCAATGTGCTTAGTTCGACCATGAAAGACTGGGTTAGCAGAGAGATAGGTGGCTCCCAAGTTATCACACCAAAGACATGAGACACGGTGTTGTTTAACACCTAACTCATTAAGCAATGATTCAACCCAGATAATCTCAGCAGTTGCATTTGCTAGTGACTTGTACTCAGCCTCAATACTTGATCTTGACACTGTAGCTTGTTTTCTAGCACTCCAAGAAATAAGATTAGAACCAAAGAATATAGCAAATCCTCCAGTTGATCCCCTATCATCACTACATCCTGCCCAATCAGCATCAGAAAAAGCACTCACAAGAGTAGATCTAGAGCGTCTGAATTGTAACCCAAGACTCATAGTGTGTCTGATATACCTGACAATCCTTTTTACAGATGTCCAATGTATAGAAGTAGGTGCATGCAAATACTGACAAACCTTATTGACTGCATGATATATCTGATCTTGTAAGTGTCAGGTATTGCAAGGCTCCTACAACACTCCTGTATCTTGTGCTTTCTTCTTCCTTGAGTGGCTCACCTTCAAAGGATGAAAGTTTTTCTGAAGGAGACAATGGAGTGGGTGAAGGCTTACAGTCCTTCATCCCCATACGAGCTAGGAGCTCGGTAGCATACTTTTCCTGGTTCAAAATTATACCATCTAGAATCTTCTTAACTTCAATGTCCAAGAAGAAGTGCAAATCACCAAGATCCTTCAAGGCAAACTTTGATCTCAAATCATGCAAAAGGGCATTAGTTGCATCTTGTGAAGAACTTGCAACTATAATATCATCAGCATATATCAACACAAATATGACTGTGTTTGCCTTGTTATAAATAAAGAGTGATGTGTCAGCTTTGGATGCAAAAAAACCAAGACACCTCAGCTAAGAGCTTAACCTTGAGTACCATGCTCTTGGGGCCTGTTTTAGGCCATAAAGTGCCTTGTCAAGCTTGCACACATAATGAGGTATTTTCTTATCTGCATACCCAGGTGGTTGCTTCATATAAACCTCCTCTTTCAGAACACCATGCAAAAACGCATTCTGAACGTCTAGCTGCCTCAAGCTCCATCCCCTGGACATAGCAATAGATAGCACAAGCCTAATAGTTGTGGCCTTGACAACAGGACTAAATGTATCCTCATAATCTAATCTATACTGTTGTTTGAAACCTTTTGCAACTAACCGTGCCTTGTACCTGTCAATTGAGTCATCTTCATTCTTTTTAATTCTGTACACCCACTTACAATCAATGATATTTTTACCTCTCTGTGCAGGTACAAGATGCCATGTCTTGTTCCTCATAAGTGCTGAATATTCTTCATCCATTGCCTGCTTTCACCTCAAATCTCCAAGTGCATCTTCTACTTTTGTTGGTTCTCCTGCAATACACATCATGCCATACGGTATTGTACCATCAGTTCGAACCTCTGGATTTTTATACCTTTTTGTAGGCGAGTTGTAACACGCGACGTCATCACTGGTTGAGGTTGAGCGAGTTGTTGCATAGGAGAGGGCATAGGAGTCTCTGTCGCAGAAGATCCCGAGGATGCACCAGATTCACTGCTTTGCACAGGAGATCTAATCCCAGATTCTGTGACCTGCTGTGTGGCTGCACTTGTACTCGTGGAACTTGGTGCCACAAAATCGCTCATCACAGGAGATCCCGCATGCAACTGCATGCGCACACGCGGGCTCAATCCCGAGCCGACCAACGACTGTTGCGCGGTCGCTGTCGCCTGCCTGTGCGTGGGATGCAGAGCTGGCGCGCTGCCTGGCGACATGGCAGTTTGCTGCTAGCCCGCAGCATGCGTGCAATTCGGTGCGGATCCCTGCGCCGATCCCGAGGGATCCTGCCGCGCTGGCGTCGCAGGCTGCAGCGGATCCTCCTCGTGTTCAGCGTCGGCTTCGTCTTCTTCTTCCACATGCAATATGCCTTCATTTTGTACCGGATTTTGATCATTTTCAACTCCGTTTTCTTCTGCATTTTCACCATGGACCTGCGCACGAATAGATGCAATACCAGAACTGGTTGAACAATCATAATGGTAAGTACAATTGTCGCCCCCTTGATCAAAGGACCGGAGATTAGGAGGAAGAAGAAGAATTTCTTGTTTTAGACAGGCTTCGACGTTTGGAAGAAGAGACTCAAATGGGAAGACAGACTCGTCAAACACAACATCTCGTGATATATAGACCCTGCCAGAAGTGACATCTAAACACTTGTCTCCTTTGTGGAGAGGACTATACCCCAGAAAAACACATTTCTTGGAACGAAAAGCAAGCTTGCGTGTATTGTATGGTTGTAGGTTGGGCCAACATGCACAACCAAACACTCGAAGAGATTTATAATCTGGAGTGGTGGCAAAGAGATGTGTGGTAGGTGTTTCAAAATTGATGACTTTGCTAGGCAGCAAGTTGATGAGATATGTAGCAGTGAGGAATGCCTCATCCCAAAACTTTAGTTGCATAGATGCATTGGCAAGTAGGGCAAGACCTACTTCTACAACATGACGATGCTTTCTCTCTGCAGAACCATTCTGTTGGTGTGCATGTGGGCATGCAACATGATGAGAATGCCAAGTTGCTGAAAAAAGGAATTCAACTTCCTGTATTCACCCTCCCCAAACAGTTTGCATAGCAATAATAATCTTAGTGTTCAGTTTTCTCTCAACAAGATTTTTAAAATTGGAGAAGACTTGAAGCACTTCAGACCTTTTCTTAAGAAGATAGATCCAAGTAAATTTTCTAAAATCATCAATAAAGCTTACATAATATGAGTATCTACCAACTGAAGTGGGAGTTGGTCCCCATACATCTGAGAATACAAGTTGTAGGGGTGAAGTGGAGATGCTAGTAGACACAGGATATGGTAGCTGATGACTTTTAGCTTGTTGACATGGATCATAAACTGACTCAATACAAGTTATAGGGGTGCAGTGGAGATGCTAGTAGACACGGTTTATTTTCACTAAGCACACGTTTAACTATAATTGACGAAGGATGACCTAATCTGCTATGCCACTTTGATGATAAAGGCTTGATAGCCACAAAAGCTTGTTTATTCGATGACGATGATGAAGACGATATGAGTGGGTAAAGTCCTCCCACACATCTGCCCCTAAGAAGTATTCTCCTCGTGGCCAGGTCCTTGACAAGAAAGAAATAAGGATAAAATTCAATGAGGACATGGTTATCATGAGTAAATCGATGAACAGATAGAAGACTTTTTGAAGTTTCAGGAACATGAAGGATTTTTTTTAGATGTAAATTTTTATTAGGGGTTCTAACAATTGAATGACCAATATGATAAACTTGCATACCAGAACCACTCGCAGTGTGCACTTGATCATGTCCGTGATACTTGTCCCGGATAGTCAGCTTGTCCAG